GAGAGGGAAATCAAGCTTTGAAGTGAAGACAACCATGAACACCGGCGTCAAACAAGGATGTTGTTTGCTGCTGATTCTCTTCAACAAAGCAATCAACTGGGTGATGAGAAAAACGACAGAGGACAAACCAAGAGGCATCAGGTGAACTCTCATCCCAACCCTCAAAGACTTAGATATTGCTGATAATCTAGCATTTGTCTCGCGTACACACATGCTGAAGAAGACGACACAGCTCAGCACATTTGCACAGCGAGTTGGACTACAGATCAGCGAGAAGAAAACGCAGATGATTTTGCTCAACGTCAGAAAAATTGACCTATCTTTGGAGAATGGTCAGGCATGATGGTGGAGCAGGCAGCCGACTCAGCTAGCAAAGGGACGAAACGCTTTCATAATACTGAACAATGTGTGGAAGTCATCTCAGTACAGCACAAAGACCAAACTAAGACTGTACCAGAGCTGCTGTATAGATCAGAATGCTGGAACGAAACGAAAGTGAAAAAAAAAACCGAAATGAAATTAAATGACTTCAAACATCGCCACGTCACAGAAATAAATGTGTCGACAATATTTAGTTTCCACCTCTTTTCCGCCTACTTTGCAGCTCGATTCAATTGTGCTGACATGACGTGACAGCCATTTTGGAATTGTTGAACACTGATGGCGCTATTCATTTTGTGTTTCACAGTGTGAAATTTTCTCAGATATAATTAGGACAATGAAAAAAAAAGCGAATTAGGGTTAGGGTTTCGTTTCGTGGAAAAGACTAAGCCGAAAGGGACCTCAACAAACTGTCCACCTTCCACACCAAGAACTTCACAAGGATCCTGTGAATATTTTGGCCTGAGACTATCTACAACCAGCAACTGCAACAGACATCAAAGTAACATAATGTCACAATCTAGATGATTAACCTATCGCTGCCAATCATTCTTGACATTAACATTTACATAACCTTTTGTGAAATAAACCCCAAGAAAACGCTGTCTTCCACTTGACCTAATGTGTGAAGTTTAAACTTTTTTAGTCTGAACATGTCTGATATACCATTCTTTGAAACAAAATGGTCATCAGTCAGCTATTTTGAACTTGATCCGAACAATAAAATGACGTGCATCATGGTCTATTGTGTTCAATGTATGTACCAAATTTAAACCCAATCTGTCTATACATGACTGAGCCCAGGAACTATAAAAAGTGTGATTTTGACGCATTTTTAAACAAATCCATGTGCATATGTTCAATATAATGTATATAAAGTACTTGTGAAGTTTAAACCAAGCATGTGTGAAATATGGCTAAATACTTAATACACATGCATGTACAAAGGTCAATCCATAAGTCCCTCTTCTCAGACTGCGTCCAAACAGGGACTAAAACACAATAGGGCTCTGTACATAAACCAGATTTATTCAAATCTTGACTACATATCTATATCTTGACTATATATGTTGTTTGTGATGTCCTAGACTTGTGCATTACCATCTAGTTGCTGTGGGCAGTGTTCACTATACATCATTTGGAACTGCTTTTTTTGCGCAGTAAGTGTGGCATTGTAGGTAGCTAGTTTACCTACAGTGTTAAGGTGACTGCAGATTCAAATCCAGGGTTTCATATTTGTCTGTTTATTTATTAAATGTGGAATTTTCAAGTTATTTAGCTTGTAAGTTATGCTCATGATTCATTGTGTCTACATAGTACATGTAGATGTAATCGTAATTGAGTACTGGTAGGTTTTTCTGACCATGAAAAATGCTCTGCTTTAAAGTCATTTGTGAAGCTGGAAATTCAATCTGTCTTTCAATTTTTAGGGTAGTGCATTATAGTGTGACAGGGAACGCATCTGCTTACAGTGACATGTTTATGAGTTTCATGTTTATGTTTGTAAGTGTGCCTGCAATTTATATTATATTCCAGTATAAATAAATACATAATAGCTTCTAACATTATCAAACAGGTCCCACCAAAGAGAAATGAGGAGCTCATTCAACAAGTTCGACCAATACAGACAGAACAAAAGTTCTACACTCCACACTCCAAACAGAGGATACTACCCCGGCTTAATGTGCCTTTACCAGTTGTTAAAACACAGCGTAGGAGCTCAGAACCGTGCGAGCTGCATGCTGAAATGCATGCATCTGTGACAGTTAGTGACGTCTGTAGAATGCTGTTACAACTGAATCTATCACAGTATACCCCGCAATTTGAGGAGGAGCAGATCGATGGTACTATACTAGATGCCTTAGATGAAGAAATTCTAACCACAGATTTAGGAATGTCAAGGTTACATGCCAAGAGGTTGAAGCTCCATTTAGCAAAGCAGAAAGCTGAACATAGCACAGTGGTCAAAGTATAGGATGTACATCTTTTAGTGTTTTGAATTGTTGAGCTTTGAAAAGGCCCATATTGTATTGAGATATCATTACATCGGCAAAATTGATCATCATCAAATCTGTATAGCACATTTATTAATCATGGAAATAGCCCAAATATCAATGATTCATTTGGTCAATATCAGTTTTTTGGATTGTTGAGAAAGAACAGACATTTCTTTCTAAAAATAAAACCAAGACATATTGCCAAGCTAAAATTCCTGGCCATTTATAAATTTACATGTGAACACAAGTGTTAATTTGAATATATATATATAATGAACTAAAACTTTGGGTGTTACTAATATGCATATAAAACAAATCAAAGAAAGCTTAGAAAGAACTCCCATGTGCTGAGAGTTTTGGAGACACATTAAAAATTAATTCAAAATTACTTGTACATGAGATATTGATGGAATAGCTGAAAACTAATTATGCAAATAAGGTAACTAATATGAACAGATTTAGGTGTAAAACTAATAAGGTCTGCTCAATGTACCAAGTTTCATTGGAA